CACGAGACCAAGTTGCTCACATTCAAATCCTTTCTACACCTCCTAATACCTCTCTTATCTCCATGACTAACCCTCCTCACGTCTCTTTATCACCTCGCACCGCTAGAGCAAACGATTCGAGTACGTGGAACGCTATTCCTGGCCTCCTGAAACCACACTCTAAACTACACGTAGGAGCTTTTAACGTACGAACACTGTGCCAAATAGGACAACAGGCTTCCTTAGCTAAGACTTTAGAATCCCGCGCCATCGATGTGTGCTGCGTCTCAGAGACGCACATACAGGATCCGAGTAGCGTCATTCATCTGACCTCACCATGCCAAAATAAAGAACCGACTCGATTCACACTTCGTGTATCTGGAAGCCCTGATTCTGCCTCCCGTGGCCTCACCGGCGTAGGCATAGCATTGAGTCCTATCGCAGCACTAGCTCTCTTAGAGTGGATCCCAGTAGACAGTCGTTTGTGCGTTGTCCGACTGAACCGAACAGTAAGAATCCGGAAAGATAGGGACACTCGTCGTTGCCTCTTCTTCGTCGCTGCCTATTCTCCCACTGACTGCAGCTCAGATGATGTAAAAGATGAGTTTTACAGAAAGCTTTCGGACCTTCTCCGAAAAGCTAAGCGCTCGGATGTAGTAATAGTGGCCGGTGACTTTAATGCTCAAGTAGGTAAACTAAGCGATAGGGAAAGACACCTGGGTGGATCTTATAGTGTCGTGGCTCAAAGAACAGATATTGGCGACCGTCTGTTGCAGCTATGCTCAGATAACCGCCCGTTTCTTGCTAATACTAACTTTAAGCATAAGGAAAAACATCTTTTAACATGGCGACCACCTAATTTGTCCCAACGTTGGACCCAAATAGATCACATCACCATCAGCCACCGATGGAGGGGCTCGATAGAAGACTGTCGCTCATTCTGGAGCACATGCCTAGATTCAGATCATGCTCTAGTACGAGCGCGTATCTGTCTGCGTCTTACTGGACGTAGGAAAGACGCTGCAAGTAAACGTCTTAGGGCCCTACTTAATGATAGTTAAGCTAAGAGTATATTTCAGGAACAACTAGGAAAACAGTTAGGTAGCCATGTAGGTGATGCCCACCCCGAGGCAGCATGGAATGATATCCGAAAAGCTGTGGAAACAGCAGTGATATCTGCTAGTACGGTAACCCGTAAGGTTAGATAGCAACACTGGATCTCAGCAGCATCTATCGCACTGATAGATGCTCGGAAACTCATTCCGCCTGGCTCTGAACATAATGAAGAGCGGAGTCAGCTTAAGCGCAAGCTGACAAGAAGTCTACGCAATGATCGCGAACAGTGGCGGGTAACAAAAGCAAGAAAGATGGAAAAGGCAACGGCAATAGGTAGTAGCAGACAATTGTTCAGACTTGTTAAGGAAACCGGTATTAGGAAACCGACTGTTAGCGAAACACTCTCAGAGAAAAATGGACATATTATACGTTCTCAATCCAGGAGATTGGATCGATGGGCAGAACACTTCAGGGATCAGTTCAACTAGCCTTCAGCTACACTTCGGTTTCCCACGATCTCCAGTCAACCTAAATGGCAAGTTAATGTAGGTCCTCCGTCTTTTTACGTAATTGTAAAGGCCATAGGAAATCTGAAGCGAGGTAGAGCAGCAGGCCCTGACAGGTTTACTCCTGAGATTTTTAAGGATGGTGGTCCAGTATTAGCAGTGAGATTAACTGAGGTCTTAGGTAGAATTTGGGAGCTGGACGTAATCCCATCTGACTGTTCTCAATCACTGATTGTGCCAGTCTATAAGAAAGGACAAAAGTCCTCTTGTGACAATCACAGAGGAATCAGTTTGACTAATATAGTGTCTAAAATATTAGCTCCAATAATACTTCGACGCCTAACCAAAGCGCGTGAAGAGCAGACTAGAGAAAATCAGGCTGGTTTTCGATCTGGACGTGGTTGTATAGATCAGATATTCACACTACATAAGGTCTCAGAACATAGACACACATTCAGACGCCCCACAATGGTAGTATTTCTCGACCTTAAGGCGGCATTTGACTCTGTTGATCGTAAGGTTCTATGGCAGTGTTTGTCACTGAAAGGAGTACCAGAGAAGTACGTTAACCATATACAGGCTTGTCTTGGAAGTCTCATCAGCCCTTGTGGTCTGGTGTATGACGAAATCTCAGCACGGACACAGAAGGCTCGACTAGCTTTTACCAAATTGCGTCATTCATGGCATAGGCGAGATATCCGTCTATCAACCAAAGGACGTGTTTACTGCGCAGCAGTTCGTTCCGTCCTACTTTATGGTAGTGAAATATGGCCGGTAAGAGTAGAGGATATCCGTAGGTTACTAGTATTCGATCATAGGTGTCTTCGAAACATTGCTCTTTATATCATGGGACCATCGAGTAAGTAACACAGTTGTTAGGAAAGGGGTACTAGGTAAGGATGGCAAATCAATTGATGAAGTAGTGAAATTTAATAAGTTGAGATGGTTGGGTAATGTGTTACATATGCCCAACCACCGACTACCTCGACGTGCGATGTTTCATGGTGTAGGAGTAGTTTAGAAGAAAGCTAGGGGCGGCCAGACCAAAACATGATACAAATCCATGAAGTCACTGACAAGTGGACTGAGTCTTATTGGTAGGTGTAGACTATCTGGTTTGGGACCGCGAGATGAAAGCAACCGATGGTTAGAGACTCTGAATGACATGACTTAAAATCGTTTGCAATGGCGCAGGTGCATACACTCTTTGTGTTCTCCCAAATTTTGATCTCTTTATTCCTCCTTGTCTCTTTTTTCTCTTTCCAAATTTATTTCATTGTATTATACTCTTTAAGTAACATCTCCAAACACTAATCTTCCCGATTACTGCTTATACTCTATGGTGACATATATTCAGTGATTTTTGTAACAACAAAAATAAAAACCACATTTTTTCTCGAATTTGTCACACTTTATTTGTAACCACATTTTTATCCAATATCTGTTGTTTTGCTGTATCACTTGTTAAAAAGACGATGATAATTGTTTCGATGAATGATATACACTTCTACTACCGGGTTGTTTAAAATATAGAACAATACCTACGCCGTTTGTTCTTCTGTTTTATTGGCCACCGTTTTGATTGAAGACTATAATAGTATTATAACATCCTTATAGGCCTTCCGACTCAACGTTGGACTTTTGGCACGGATTACTATTGTATAATACTATTGAACTCCGTCTTCCTCATTACGTCTTTGGTGCAGTCACTTGCAGAGGAACACCTGTCAACCAAGTGAACTTAGTTTGTGGTCGTTGTCCTCACGAGGCAGTTAACAAGTAACATTCATTCTATAGTAACTGTTAGCGTCTGTTTGTTTAATATACCTTTTGTATTGCTAACGATATTTTATTACCTTTGTTTTTACTAACGGACAGACATCTAGGTTTCTTAATCATTATTTCGTTTTGGTATATCAGTGTTAACCTAGAGTATCAAAATATTTTGTGTAAGCTCCTTTTGTTTGGGGACCACCACAAATTTGGTGAGCCCGTAAAATTTTTTTTCTCTCTCAACTACTTTTGAGTTCACTTACAGACATTACGGCGTTATTTTACCCTTGGTAGTATTTAAATTTTCTTATATTCTTAATGTACTCATCCGAAACTGAAGGCATTAGCCAGGATAACATTTCAGCAGAGCTACATGCTCTAAATTTGATAAATGTGCCCCCATTCAGCCGATTAAATCCTCGCATTTGGTTTGCGCAAGTAGAAGTACAATTTCAGCGTCGCAACATACGCTCACAGGCATCTAAATACTCTTTTGTGCTTGGATTACTACCCACTGAAGTTGCATCTGAGGTGTCAGATTTGATAGATAATATTCCTGCACCTAATCCATATGATCAATTGAAGCAGGCAATTATTCAACGTACCTCATTATCCGATGAGAAGAGATTACAGCAATTACTGCACGATTGTGAGCTAGGCGACAAATCACCGTCTCAATTATTACGACACATGAGACAATTAGCTGGCCCTTATAAATTTGATGACGCCTTCCTCAAGGAAATTTGGCTACAACGTTTGCCAACTGTAGTTAGGCAAATTCTTTGCGCCTCTAGCCAACCATCAGATTTAGAAAGTCTTGCCAGCATGGCTGATAAAATTTTAGAAGTTACACCCTGTACTACACCTTACGTACAGGCAATAGTAGAAACTTCGAACGATAAGCAAACTCCCACCATAGCATCGTTAACTGCTGAACTAGGCGAACTACGAGCACAACATGAACGAACTGTCGCCACTCTTGAAAATAAACTGGATGCATTACGATTATTAATCTCCAACTTCACATCTACAAGATCTCGCTCTAGTTCTCGAGGGAGTAAGAATCGAGATAACGCAAAAAGAAACAAAAACGACGACAACATATGTTGGTACCATAAAAAATATGGTGACAAAGCTAGGAAATGTGTTACGTCTTGTAAATTTTTCAAGTCATTTTCCTCACCAAGACGTGTCAACCAAACCATGGTAGCGACAAATGTTTCTGGTCGTGCGCCTACTCGTCTTTTCCACGTTCTTGATAAAACTTCAGGGTACAAATTCTTAGTAGATACTGGAGCTGAAGTTAGTGTCATCCCAGTTACCTTAGCCAATAAACCTATTGCTAAGAGTGGAAAATACACCCTAAGGGCAGCTAATAAAACCGAAATAAAGACATTTGGCGAACAATTTCTAACATTAGACTTGGGAATTAGACGTAATTTAACCTGGGTGTTTATTATTGCGGATGTCCGTCACCCTATACTAGGTGCAGATTTTCTCAGTTTCTACAACCTACTAGTTGACGTTAAGAGAAGAAAACTTATTGATTCCTGCACGAACCTTCAAGTCCAGGGAATTCAGTCGGACTACCACATACATAGTATTAAAATTGACACTCCAGGGAACGACATATTCGCCACCATTCTATCTAAATTTCCCAAAATAACGAAACCAGACTACAGTGAAAACACTGTCCAACATTCTGTAGTACACCGGATCATCACGAAGGGTCAACCAACTTCGGCACGTCCACGCCGATTACCACCAGACAAACTGAATGTTGCAAAAGCTGAGTTTGATCATATGATGCAGCTAGGTATAATACGTCCGTCAAGTAGCCCCTGGGCATCCCCACTCCACATGGTGCCCAAGCGAGACCAAGATTGGCGACCTTGTGGTGATTATAGATCATTGAACAACCTCACATTACCGGATCGCTACCCAATCCCTCATTTACATGATTTTTCTCTCACTTTACATGGCAAGCAAATTTTTTCTAAAATTGATCTTGTGCGAGCGTACCACCAGATTCCAGTAGCATCCGAGGACATAGCAAAAACAGCCATCATTACTCCATTTGGTTTGTTTGAATTCCTAAGAATGCCTTTTGGATTAAAGAACGCCGCACAAACATTTCAACGATTTATGGATGAGGTCACTAAAGGCCTAGATTTTGTTTTCGTGTATATTGATGATGTCTTAATAGCTAGCAGTTCGATCCATGAACACGCTGATCACCTACATCAATTATTCGAAAGATTTCAGAAATATGGCATAGTGATTAATCCATCCAAATGTATTTTCGGAGTTGAGAGTTTAGAGTTTTTAGGTCACTTGATCGACAAACGTGGAATTAAACCTTTGGATACAAAAATAGAAGCCATCAAGAGTTTTCCAGAACCAGACTCATGGAATAAACTTCGACGTTTCTTGGGGATGATCAATTTTTATCGTCGCTTTATTCCACATTGCTCAGATATCCTACAACCTTTGACGGAGGTGTTAAAAGGTAAAGTCAAAAAGTTCACATTACCCTCCCAAGCGAAAGATGCCTTTTCTGCAGCTAAAACAGCAATCGCTTCTACTACCATGCTGACCTACTTAAGCCCTGACCCGGAAGCAACACTAATCCTGTGTACAGATGCATCACAGGCAGCAGTAGGTGCAGTACTACAACAGCGAGTTAATAATGAGGTCAAACCACTTGCCTTCTTTTCAAAGAAGCTAGAACCAACCCAAACTCGATATAGCACTTTCGGTAGAGAACTATTGGCTATTTATCTAGCTGTTAAACATTTTAACCATTTACTGCAAGGCAGAGACTTTGTGATACTCACTGATCACAAACCTTTAACCTATGCCTTTAACGCGAAAAGTGACCGTTATTCCCCTAGAGAAATGCGACAATTGGATTATATTTCCCAATTTTCGACCAACATACAGTTTATAAAAGGTGAGTCAAATGTTGTTGCGGATACTTTGTCACGTTTCAACGTCGATGCAATTTCCTTCACCAAAGGAATCGATTTATCAGACATGGCACGTTTGCAGACAGATGATCCCGACCTTGATGCTTGTAAACAAAGTTCGAGCTTGTCCTTAAAAAGTGTTCCTATACCGCATTCTGACTCTACTATCATTTGTGATACTTCTACTGGAACTCACAGACCTTTTGTGCCAATAGTGTACAGAAAAAGAGTTTTTGATTGTCTTCACTCACTATCCCATCCAGGGATTCGTGCTACTGTGAAACTGATTGCTGAAAGATTTGTTTGGCCAAAGATGAATGCAAATATTAAAAAATGGACCAGGACTTGTGTACAGTGTCAGCGCAGTAAAATACATAGACATACGATTACAACACCGTCAGCATTTAGTCTACCCGACCATCGTTTTCAACATGTTCATGTTGATTTAGTTGGTCCTCTGCCTCCATCTAACGGATTCACTTACATTTTTACTGCAGTGGACCGTTTCACTAGATGGCCAATTGCATGCCCAATAAAAGATATCTCCGCGGAAAATGTTGCTGCTGTATTCCTCGACAGATGGATCGCTAATTTTGGTGTACCTTCTACAGTTACTTCGGACAGAGGTTCACAGTTCCAATCTCACCTCTTCAATGAATTCACCCGCATTTTAGGAATCCATCACATCACTACAACAGCATACCATCCAGCAGCGAATGGAATAGTGGAACGGTTCCACAGACAACTAAAAAGCTCATTGATGGTACAACCTGATGTTTCTAGATGGAGTGAATCTCTACCTCTTATTTTACTAAGCATACGTTCCACAATTAAAGAAGACCTACAATGTACCCCTGCACAGCTCGTCTATGGAACTAATTTAACCTTACCGGGGCAGCTAGTGACGCATAATGGCAAACCCGTATGTACGGATCCCACTTCTTTTTGTGAAAGACTTATGAGCCATATGAATAACATTAAGCCTGTTGCACCTCGGCCAGTTGTCTTAAAAGAGCAAGTTAGCAAGCATCTAAATACGTGTAAATTTGTATTTGTTCGTGTTGACTCAGTAAGACGCCCTCTACAACATCCTTATGAAGGACCATATGAAGTAGTTGAGAGGCAAACAAAATATTTCACAATCAATAAGAACGGAAAAAAAGAAACAGTTTCAATCGACCGGATAAAACCTGCTTTTATAGAGTCTGAAACACATGACAACCGAAAGCCGTCTAAAAACAGCAGAGATCACACAACGCAGCTCCCAGTGTCTCCAAATAATTCTTCACCAACTCCGACGAAATCAATATTTCGTAAAACAGACGGTTCTAAGGTTACAGTTCCCACAAACTTAAATCCTAGTTCCGACACTTTACCTTCTACGAAAGCAACTCGTTCAGGAAGACATGTACATTTTCCTAAACGTTATGTTGAATTAATTACTTAACCTTTATTCTGTCATTACCTGTAATGTGATTAAATATCTATATTAGCAGAGTTACTAATAACATTTTTTTTGCAAGCATTTTAAAAAAAAAATTTTTTTTGTGTACTACTAATATTGATAAATTCATTATGTTTTTCTCTACATGTGTATGCGTTTCATATGATGTTTAATATTAATTGTGCAAATATATCCAATTTCGTTGGACTCGTTCAGTTTATCACTAATTGTTTACACAATTTATACATTTATTTGCACTTCGGTGAACTCTCAATTTAATTACTGTTATTACTAATGATACTATTATTATTATTATTTATTATTATTATTATTATTATTATTATTATTATTATTATACACTTCGTTATTCTTGTTAAACTTTTTATATACATTAAAGTCTCTTTACTACAAGAGAAACATTTTGTTCTTGAATATATATACACGTATGATTTTTTTAAAAAAAATATTTGTTTACCCTTTTCGTGGTGTAATTTTCTCCTCCCTCCAAAGCATTTAGAGTTTTACGTCGGGCATACTTCCACCGACGCATGCCCTAGGGGGGGAGTTATATGGTGACATATATTCAGTGATTTTTGTAACAACAAAAATAAAAACCACATTTTTTCTCGAATTTGTCACACTTTATTTGTAACCACATTTTTATCCAATATCTGTTGTTTTGCTGTATCACTTGTTAAAAAGACGATGATAATTGTTTCGATGAATGGTATACACTTCTACTACCGGGTTGTTTAAAATATAGAACAATACCTACGCCGTTTGTTCTTCTGTTTTATTGGCCACCGTTTTGATTGAAGACTATAATAGTATTATAACATCCTTATAGGCCTTCCGACTCAACGTTGGACTTTTGGCACGGATTACTATTGTATAATACTATTGAACTCCGTCTTCCTCATTACGTCTTTGGTGCAGTCACTTGCAGAGGAACACCTGTCAACCAAGTGAACTTAGTTTGTGGTCGTTGTCCTCACGAGGCAGTTAACAAGTAACATTCATTCTATAGTAACTGTTAGCGTCTGTTTGTTTAATATACCTTTTGTATTGCTAACGATATTTTATTACCTTTGTTTTTACTAACGGACAGACATCTAGGTTTCTTAATCATTATTTCGTTTTGGTATATCAGTGTTAACCTAGAGTATCAAAATATTTTGTGTAAGCTCCTTTTGTTTGGGGACCACCACAACTCTTATTACATTTACCACTACGGGATTTGAATCGACAACTGAATCTCTGTGCTAATGTGGTGTGGCAACTCGAACTGATGTACGTCCGTACGAAGTTCTACGTTGTTACTGACTGACTGACTGATTTCCATACTACGACAAAACAGCCGCCCAATTCTCCCAGGTTTCCAATGGTGGTTTGATATTAGTTGGTTCATGATCTCATTTAAAATTACACTGCTCTTTGTGAATTTTGAAGGGCCTAGATTCCCTCTTATATGAGGTCATGCGCGTTGATTTGCTAACAATAACCAATCTAAACCGATCCAGTTGTCCAGCGATTCCCAGTGTTAAACAGTTCTCTACCTTATATTAGCCGGCATTGTAGATCAAACCACTAAAACATTTTATCAAGTTTCATATCGTTACTTCAGACTATTTTTGTTAATGACATAGGGTTACAATCGGTAATTTCACTTGAGGATATGTATGTCATCAAAAGTCATTTCAAAATCCATACACTCGCGCTCAACCAACAGAACTTTTCAGAGGTAATTCAGTACTTTATTATCTCATGATGGATCGTTCAAAACTGAGTTATTCAAAATCTTACACACTTGCTTTTGCTTTTACTTGATTAACGGTATTCGTAACTTATATCATTTAAAGACCCCAGGCTCCAGGATTCTGAAGGAACAAATGGAGTATGAACCAATCATTGGTTATCAGCTATCATGACCATGGGACTGCATCTCCTTACGTTGCTCAACTGCCTTGTGGATTAAACCTTCAGGTCAAAGGCTCCAGGTGTTACCCCTTAAGAAAACCATCTGCTTCAGTTTGGGCACCTGGGTAGTATCACAGCGTACACATAAATCAAGCAAATTGTGTGACGCATATGTATTTGGTGTTTCCTTGTACCGACGTTTATGCGTTCAAATAAACAAAATCAATATAATTCAACAAAACCCGTGGAATTAGGTTTCACGCTGTTCGAATGATTTATGTGGCGCATATCTACTTCGTGCCTCCTTGTAAAAATGATTATTTGTATAAATAAGGTAAATAATCGTTTATGAGATTTCTACTGTATCAGTATAGGGTTGTAAAGATTATTAATTTTTTGATTGAGATTGTAGCGTGGCGTCGAGTTGAGGTTAACTATGAACACCGCTACAAAGAAACACGTGCCAAGTTAATCAGAAGGCGAAGGTTGGACGTAACCAAACAAATCCATGAAATCCCCGAGAAGCCAAGTATCAGAAGACAGTTAATGGATGAAGTCGAGATATATTTGCTGGCGATCTCGTGGCATCGAAAGGATACCGAGATCGTACCAGGATACAAGCTTGGTTACAGAACGTAACCGAATTCGCGCGAAGTTACAATCAAAAGTGTGTGAATAATAATGGAAGCATAAAATAGCTGTCATTAGCACAGTCAAACAAAAGCACATTAAAATAAACACTGGTAGTTGGTTATAATAATAATTGTTTTTATTAAACCAGTCGTGTTCTCGTGATAATTGTGAATCACTACAAGATCATGAACTGATTGATGTTAGATCGCTATTGAAAACCTGGAAGCACTAGACGGCCGTTTCGTCGCCGTTTCGTTTCGACTCCTCAGCACTACGCATCTACGATGCCGCTCGGGTGATTCGAACATTAATCGGTTCATGATCTCAACCAAAATCTTATTAATCTTCACAACCATATACTGATAATTACCATGTGCCCACTATTGACTGGCTTCGTGAGGGAATTCTTGGAGTTCTGGTGGGGAGCTGTGACCAGTGGAGCTAATCCGTGTCGAGTAGAGACAAGTGTCTATCTCAGTACAATGGAAGATGGTCGCGCAACTTCGTGGATTGGTTGGGGTTAGACATTAACACAGTCGGATGCTGACTCACTGGTCTAGAAGTTAAGCGTTCGCGCGCCAGACTGAAGACCCTGGGTTTGAATCCCGCGAGCGGGATTATGAATGCGCACTGCTGGGGAGTCCCACAGCAAGACGAAACGGCCGTCCAGTGCTTCCAGGTTTTCAATGGTGGTCTAGCATAAATCGGTCCTTGATCTCGATCAAAAAATATCTACTCCAGTTGACTTCAGATAACTGGAGAGAAATAAGCAGTTCGATGAATTGTCGCAATACATCTACTTGATATGTATTGATTGATGATTGCAACAACAATTGCTTGGACCTCGTCGAAACGTTCAAAGAGGCAAATTCAAAAAACATTCAAGTAAACTATTGGTTTGTTTTGTTAGTACCGAAATTCGGTTTCCTAACGTTTGTGTGTCTTTTTGGTTAGATCCATTCGTGCTGCGTCCCACTGACTTATATTGCGGTTGGATTAGAAAACCGTACGAATATATATCTATTAGAATGCTGTTTATTAGTGTCGTTATTGTATAGATATTTCTGCAAACCACTTACTAAATGCAATTTTATTGTGTATGAGCAGTTGTGGTTTGTAACTATTGACAGTGACATATTATCCTGCACACTCTTTTATTCATTTTCGTCCCAGGAATCGGTTCATGATTCTACTGACAGTGTTCTAAATATTGACTGTCAGTGTATCGTCCGCGTCACCCATAAATATCTGTGTTCAAAAATGAGGGACTGTATTGCAGATTTGTCACAAGTGAAGTTTCTAGTAGTTTCTGCAAACGTGGAAACGTGAGTTTTGGAAGGCAATATTTTTATATCCGAAATTTTAGACTATGGGAATGATTGAAACATGAATACTTGGCAGATTTACAACCGCAAACCAAACAATGTCAAGATTCAGTAAATTTCACAAGCAAATATAAATCTAATTGCTAATGTCTTAACTTCAAAAAATATCGTTCTGTACAACATTTATAGGGATACAAGCTGTCAATATTAAGGATTCCTAAAGTCCAATACCATGAAGTTATCTTCAGAACATTAAAGATCAATGTCAGAATTACAAACAAACGAAGTTTGAAGCTTCCGTTAAACAGACATACCACAAATTAGTAAAATAAGTTATTTGGTGAATAATAGTTTAATCACTTAGGGTGCGAATGAAATACGCGACTGATTTCTTAAAACTTTTGAATTATAACTTAGTTTTTAATCCAAGTTAACTCTCAAATCTAGTTTCTACTAACAATCAGACGTCCGTTTTCTCATGTCACAGTTGCAACAGACGACACAGTTACCGTAGTGGATTTTGATGTTTTGAATTATTTGAATTGTAGTATGAACTAAGAATCCCAGAATTAACGCAATCGAGTCAAGAAGTACTAGACAAGCACGAACGAATGCATTGTATTTAGAATTCGAAATCAAGCATTCAACAAGTACAAAGGTATCATTAGTTCATTCAAACACCACATGGACGCTCCTCACAATTATGTTTAAAAGTATCGTGTAACAGAACGTGGTGTTAAAGTTGCAACGACTGTCGGACAGAGTGAAGAGTTTCAGTTTACCAAAAGCACGGCGTTGGCAGAATACTTGAAGGCCAGTGGAGAAGGCAGTTCATATTGCGGAACACACCGGGGGATGCAAATAGGCGATTGAAGACTATCTGTATGTATTGTGTAAATACATTGTAACTTCTCGTATCAAAGATGCATACCTGAAGCCCATTGTAATGTTCTGCATTACGAGTTTACAAACATGTTATTTTTAGTCACAGAAATAAAATCAATTCTTCAATTCAATTATTTAGGTTTAGTATTCTACTCAACGGCTAATGTAAGAAACACATGCTCAAAAAATTAAATCGGGAATCGCACTCACAAACCATGGATGTATTTAGTGATGCAACTGATGTATTTCCTGTTGAAGTAAAGAGTAGTTCTAAGGTGAAGGAAGAGATTAACAAAATCATTAATAAGGTAAACTTCGTGTTCCTTAATTGTGAACAATGCTTTTTGTGCGGTATCTTTCAAATTGGTGGATTTCGAATTTCCACGAAGTTCGTCGGCTAGATGCTTCATAAGGAACGCGCAGTTCGCTATCAACCGTCTATAGAAAATTACAAGGCAGTTAAATGTGTGTAATTGCTTAATGGCAGTCGGTTCTGGGTAATCCAGAATGGCCACCACTCTGGTTTTAGAGGTTGGTTTCCTTGAACATCAATAATGTGTCCAAGGAAATCTAGGGAGTCAGTTCCGACTTGACATTTCTGAATGTTTACAGT